CAAGATCCTTTGGTTTGTTGTTTAACACCTCTCTCAGCATGCTCAACAATATTTCAGCTATTTGATGGCGGTCTGGACCAGACAACCCTGTGATTGACATCATGTGCATCGATCACGTGCAAGTTGGGATATGATGACATGCATCAACCGTCTGACCACACGATCCTCTTGGTCGCCTTAAGACAAGATTGGGAGCTAAAGACCAATTCTAACATGGATGTTCACTGGGGGAGACGAGCATGAGTTGTTGAATCCCAATTCTAACCCGGATCTTCTCTGATGCCTGTAATTAATCCCATAAGTGTTCTGATAAATACCAGGTTTAAAATAGGCTTGGACTGGTAATTCATGTGATTGCAAATAAAGTATCTTAAAAATCTTTGTTGCTAATCAAAACATCAGCGATATTTATCTTAGTATATTTTTCGAACGAAGTCAGCTTTTCTCTTACCATCAGGACTTTCCCTTATCTATTTTTAGTGCAAGGAAATAACATTTCTCTTTTCTTGGAGGTTAAATAAATGTTTGCAGCGACAGTCTCGAAATATTAAAAACAAAAAGAGAAAACTGTGACTGAAGTTTGTGTGAATGATGTGTTGATCTCAACAAGTGAGTGAGTATGGTTTTACGCCGCTTTTAGCAATATTCCAGCAATATCACGGCGAGGGACACCAGAAATGGGCTTCACACATTGTACCAATGTAGGCTACCTGACCGCCCCTGATCTCAACAAGAAACCTCAGAGACGACATCATAGCATGGAACATGATGTTGAAAGGATTAAAACCAAGTAATTTAATATGTTTTTTTGTTTGTTAAAAGATGGGACTGACAAAAGTTAGATGGGAACTACCAATTTTTAGGGTCCAAATTCAAAAGCCAGTGGGATCACTGATACACAAGTCTGATATCATTCAATAAATGTTCAATGGATACATGGTCTTCCTATGTCAGCATATGCTGACATGCAATTAACAAAGTCATCGATCCACTGAGTTGCTTTGTGCGACAGGTTGGGAACCGATCTAATGCATTCCCAACATGGGGGTGTTCAACATCTTCAATGTCAGACACAGATGTAGACAAAGGTGCAGGGATACAGTTCAAAGATTGTTGGGAGTGAGTGAGTTGGGTTTAACGCCGCTTTTAACAGTATTCCAGTTATATCACGGCATGTCAGCTTAATGTGGGAGGAAAGCCCGAAGTCATGCAGGTCTCAGACGTTTACCACTTCGGTGAAACCCACGAGCACGGGTATGGTGCTGACAAACCTAGAAACATAATCGGGGCAAACCGGGATCCGAACCCACAATCATAGGTTTCTGGCGTGCCCAAGGGACGCAACCCTGCGTAAAATACCCCCCAAAACTATTCAAAACCCAATTACTCTCAATTAACATGCATAAATATCCAATGACACTTTTTCAGCATGCGTACAACGGAGCTAATTTCTTAAACATGATTACAAGCAAATTTACTTTCCGAGTCAAGTCTATATTTAGAACCGTTATATTACATCTAACAATGATCTAAAACATTATTGCATTTTTTTTTAAATCTCAAAATGTTTACTCTTTTGGGGGGAAAACCCAACATAGTGGTGAATGGATGAGTGAAAAAATATTGGTTACCCAATGAAAAATGTAATAACCCAAATAAAATAGAAACCTTCAACATGTTCAAGTAAAAACTCAATTGCTCAAAAAGTTATCTGGATCTCTGATTTCATATCATTTTCCTAACCCAAGGAAAATCAACTGTGGTGAATGGGGAGCGCAAACATTTGATTAGTTTAGGGTCGTGTCAATAGTAGCGTTGTGATGTGACCGAAATCAACTGTGGTGAATGGGGAGTGCAAACATTTGGTTAGTTTAGGGTCGTGTCAATAGTAGCGTTGTGATGTGACAGAAATCAACTATGGTGAGGTGAGGTGAAATTGGGTTTAACGTCGCGTCAAAGAAAATGGCACTTATATAGCGACGTGCAAGCACGCGTGTGTGTGTGTGGCTGCTTGTACTAGTCCGGACTGATGCCGATTTATAGTGCTAGCCCACTGCGATACCATGCCGCAGTTTAACATGAATACCCCACTCAGATACAGTATACTGACTCCGAGCCGACCAGTCCTTGTTTTAGCCCTTTAATGCCGAGCGCCAGACAGGGTAACAACAAATACCATCTTTTAACGTCTTTTGATATGATGCGGCCGGGGATCGAACCCCGTACCTTCCGCTCTCCGGGCGGACGCTCTACCACTAGACCACAGAGGCGGTCTAAATCAACTATGGTGAATGGAGAGTGCAAACATTTGATTAGTTTAGGGTCGTGTCAATAGTAGCGTTGTGATGTGACAGAAATCATCAGAAGAATCCTGAACCAGTGAACACATGCATGAAGGTGATATCAACACCGGGATGCGATATCAACACCAGGATTTGAAATTAACTTCATATTACCTGGTCTTTGATTGTCTAAAATAAGGCGAATACAGTTCGTATCACGATTATAGGGTAACGAATACGAATATCAATTCACAAATACAATAACAAGTCAGTAGCTGATGTATTATTTGTTATATTCAGTGAAACAATAACAGCATAAATTATTTGACATGGTTTGTGAATTATTAATATATTATACATATTGGATGCTGTAATCACACCAGACTCGCACTTAAGTAGGCTTGTCACACTTATTGGGTTGAGTGAGTGAGTATGGTTTAACGCCGCTTTTAGCAATATTCCAGCAATATCACGGCGGGGTACACCATTTAGGGGCTTCACACATTGTACCCTTGTCGGGAATTGAACCCGGGTCTTCGCAGTGACACAGAATGCTTTAACCACTAGGCTACCCGACCACCCCATCACACTTATTGAAATATTAGTATAATGCACTTCACTCAGTAAAAAGAAATCAAACCTGTCTCACATACAAGAGATGTCTTGCCCACATGTTATGTCTATGACTGGCAAACTTGTAAAATAAAGGCTACACTATAACTATTTGATTGTTTGTTTGTTGTTTAATGCCACACTCGGCAATATTCCAGCTATATGAGAGGTCTGTAAATAATCTGGACCAGACAATCTAGCAATCTAGTGATTGACATCATGAGCATCCAGTGGTAGAAACTAACAGTTTTCGTCCACTAGTCCTTATAACGATAACATTTAGCAAAACCCTTAAAAATGGCAAATTTCTACTAGTCCTCATGATACCTTAACTATTGGGAAGTTTGGCAAGGACTTCAGGACTAGTGCTAATGTCTAACGCTGACATCTAGCTACCCAAATGAGATACAATGACATGCATCAACCATGTCAGCGAGTCTGACCACCCGATCCCGTTAGTCGCCTCTTACGACAGGCATATGGCAAGCATGCGTTGCTAAAGACCTACTCTAACCTGGATCTTCACGGGTCTGCACTATAATTAAAACCAAGTTTGAAACCAGAAACCTGCATGTCAGACCTGATCAGTCCAGTAAACATGATGGTCCTGCTTTAAACATGTTCAGGAACAATTGCTGTTAAGACAAATCACTGAACATGTTGAACTCCTACAGAGCTCAAGATAAGCTTCTGGTGTTGTGGGTATTTTACCCATGCATTTTAAAATCATTGGGTATCAGTAATTCTATCTGGGTATTCAAATTTCTGTTACCCACTAGTTTTTACACATGTGGGTATTTAACTTAAATATTTAAAAACACTATTCATCTAGTCCCTGCAAACTGGTGTCGTGTGGGTTCGAGAGCTTTATAGGACTCAAAAATACCACGATACTTCCACAAGAAAGTGTATTGGCAAATGATCAGGACGTAACTGTCATCGTGGAGTTTGGCAAGGTTGACGGAATGCCCGTTTATAATTTCAAAATAAGTTGCTGATTTGCTAATCGAATATGCAGGGTTACTTCACAATATTTTGATGATACACACAAGTTTTATTTTTGAAGTTTATCTGTAATGTTCGTTGCGTATTTGATACGCTTGGATTTTATTTCACTGCGTATTTCTGCATTTCTGATGCATATTTAACAACAAAACGTAAACCAGCCGGATGAAACACATTATTCACTTTAGTCATGTTTGTTGAACAGAAATACAGATCATTTCACCATCTTCATGGGAGATAGACATAATAAACGTCGGTTTTCTTATTTTACGGTTGCGTTTTCTTAAAATTATGGTTGGTTAGTGGGAAAATAAAATAAACATTTCAGATTACTTTTATTCATTCTTTAAATAGCTACGTGAATATGCTGCCATGTCTTAGTTAGGCTTGCCTCATTGTATAACCGATTGTCTTGCAGTTTAACCATGTTAACCTCTAACACAGTCATTTCATTCGTCACCACTCGCCCCTTTCCGTAACCTGCAAAAAGACTCGTCCCCCTATCCATGAATGTTATGTGCGAAAATATGACAAACCAATCAGAATGCGCGTATGAATTCAAGTACTTCGGTCAAAGAATCCCTCAGGAATAATTTTTTATTTTATATATGTCTTGCATCTAAAAATATACCCTAGATACATTTAAATGTGTTCAGTCATACTGAATAAATATTGTAAGCCCCATTGTGTTTTAAAAAGCATCTGGAATATATATGACATGAGAGAAAAAAATGTGAATCATTACGCAACGAGTTGACATTTCTGTTAACTATGCCCGTTTGCGCCAAGACGGAACCCAGTCACAAATATGGCCACCAGAGGGGCACTAGTCCCTGTTCGGCTTGTCCCGGAATAACACGAGTTTGTCACGAATGACAGTCATTTATCATGTTTATGGTGAAATGAAAGTTTGGCCTTTTTCCAATTTCATATTTTTTTAGCAGGTTTACATCCATAATCAAATCGAAAAATCGTCTCACCTATTGACATGATTAAGCTTGATAAGCATGATAAGAGCAATTCACGCTGTGTTGAACAGTGAAACTTTGGCATTTTTGAAGTTTAAAGACATATAAGCATAATTAATTTATGATAACTTACCTGTCGCTTTAAGATAGCAATGGCCATGTATTTTGCATCAAGACGTTTTTGACATGTATCCAGTTCTATCTTCAACTCCTCCACTTCCTTGAAACAAAAATGGATGCCTTATTTAACAAAACAATAGTATCATTAGGCAAAAGCAATTCAATTAATTTCAATTATTTATTAATTAATATCACACAAGCCAGGCAAACCAGTGACTGAAAGCATTAGCAATAATCCACGCCACTGGGATAAGATGACATGCAGTCGTCATGACATGGTCATGAATCAGCCAGGTCACAGTGCCTGACAACTGTTCCTCACTTTGGTTGCTGGTTCTTATAATAAGCATGAGTGAGGGAGTGAGTTGGGTTTAATGCCGCTATTAACAGTATTCCAGTTATATCGCGACGTGTCAGCTTAATGTTGGAGGAAAGCCCGAAGTGATGCAGGTCTCAGACGTTTACCACTTCGGTGAAACCCACGAGTCGGGTATGGTGCTGACAAACCTAGAAACATAATTGGGGCGAACCGGGATTCGAACCCACAATCATAGGTTTCTGGCGTACCCAAGGGACGCAACTCTGCACAGCGAATCGCGGCACCTTAGACGACAGGGCCACCCGTGCCCCCTAAAATAAGCATGAGGTACTGCAGATGCATTGTAGCCTTGAATCTCCACCGGGACCCTCCCTGAGATTGAGTGAATTTTCAGAAATTCAGAGACAGACAATGACCATTGGCCTTTGTACTTCAGTACTTCACAAAAAGGTCAAGCGATGTAGATTGTATTAAGGTACAAGTTTGGTGAAAACCAGGAGCAAAGTATGGTTCCGACAAACCTAAGATCATAATCAGGGTGAATCTTAGATTACAACCCATGATCACAGGATCTTGGCACATCTAAGGGACACAACTCTGCAGAATCTTAAGTTGACACGGCATCTGAGCACACTTATATAATCAGCACAGTTTTTATGACGACTAAAGCAAAATGTAAAAAACATTAATATACACCAAAATATCTTTAAATATTTCTTTACATGTTAAGGGCTAGAGATAGAGTGAGTGAAAGTTATTTTATGCCATGGTCATCAATATAACAGCCAGGCAGTCTGTAAATACATGTCTACCTCTGATAAACCAGTGGTTGGCTGCATTAGCAATGATCTATGTGGCCAGAGTACTCTAGGGACAGTGAACACACATTCAGTGTGATTAAGTTGGTCAACAGATCCCCATCTGCTAGTTGATTCTTTACAGGACAAACATGAAGACACTAGGACTGATTCTACCCCGAGAACATGGGACCCCACAGGATGAGGTGTTTGAAATGATATATATAGTGACATACACAAACATGATAAACATGATAATGATAAAGATTATTTACCTGCAAAGCTTCCAGCAATTTTTTCTCAATTTCTACACTTGTTAACCTTTTACGATTAATATCACCTAAAAAATAATAATCATATGCAAGAACATAAACAATGACATATTAATAATATGGGTACATATGCATTATACCGAACACCAATCTGCCATGTCTGTTTGATGCTACTAATAAAATATTTTGTATCTACTTTGTAACTACCATGCACTGTAAGCATGGTAAGATTTTAGCTTAATACATCTTATAGATACAGTTAAAAACAAGCAAATGTATTTATTTAAATATGAACAACATTTAACATGTGTAATGCAAATCAAAACTGTATTTTTATGGAAAACATGAATCACTCATGTGGGTCTATCGTAATGGAACATTTGTTTACCTTGTTTACAAACAGTTTACCAGCTGTTATCCTACAACCATATTTGTCACAAGTTTGCAAACATATTGATAAAACATTCAACCATAACACATCAATATCTTTAACCATTGTGACCAACATGACCAAGCAGTGTATGTCACTAGGAAAAGCTTGTCATTGTAGTACTATGGTTCTATGAGAGAATTCTAAAATTATCTTTACACATTGTGTGTCCTAATTATACAAGTTACAAACCATCAATTGAATTCACTGATTGTTCTTCAGAGGTAGACAGATCGTGTTTTTTACGAAGGGATCCCAAATTTTGTTCAAACAACTTCCTCTGTTGTCGTAGTGACGTTCCCAAAGGAACATCGGCGTACGTGGGAAAATGTTCATTTCCAGAGGGAGATATGTCACCCGAATCAACTGATCTGCGTTTGGGTTTTGATTTGAACACGAGTGATTTTCGCCTTTCTGGAGTTTGCCTGGACACAGAATCCCTATCGTTTGCTTGGCACGGTTGACTATTCCTCCTAGTGACAGTACTTTCATTGTGCGACGGCGTTACACTGCTAGCACCGTCTGGGAATTCGGGCAAATTCAAACCCTGGAGTATCCCGCCCGGCTTTAGCCCTTCACCCAGTCCCAGGTCACCGCAGACTATACTAAACTTATCGTCTGCTTTGTCGGACATGTCTGCATGCTTTCGGTGACACTCTTCCCTGTCCATGGTGGATGAGCGGACACTGTTCAGTGTTTATTGACTGAGATCAAGTTACATCTCTGATCTGACAGAAATAGGTGTTGTCGTAGCAGCAGGAAACGACCACACTGCTACCGGAAATGAGATCAAGCACCTGCTTCATACAAATATAGTCCACTGGAGATCAAAGTCGGGTGGCTATTTGCGACAGTAAGACAAATAGTTATGAATTGTGTACACGAAGGTGTATTAGTCTCAATGATGATAGTAATGTTTAGTTTAACTTTGAACGTATTTTAGAAATAAGAAATGGCGCTGCGGATTGATATATTATTACTGGGGTCAAGGTCGCATTGTCTGGGAAGGTCACCACATGGCAAAATGACAGGGAGAAGTATTCCAAGTGATTTTGTCAAGAATGTGTTGCAGAATGGCATTGGACGATATGTTTGTCAACTGCAAAGATTGACCGTATCGTTTTGCAAGTCTCACGGCGACAGTAGAGGCGCAAGGTTCATATATGTTGCCTTCATTTGACTTTGTTGATCAGTTTCCAAGTGAATCACAAGATAAAATAGATGATATACCTTTTGCTTTAAAACCAGATATGATCCGCCTTATTAGGGTTATTTAGATCCCCACCAAGCATGCCATTGATTTATATTAAATGTGTTTTTCAGCTGATACATTAAGAGAAAAATGTTGTGGTTCTTTTTAGTGGTTGATTCTTTTTAGTATAGTCTTCTGTCTTGGAATGACTGTTTACATTAAGTAATTAGTTACTTGTTCCAGATCTTCATCATGCCTTTAATAAATATCCATTTTGTTACTTTCAGAGATTTTGTGGAAAATCACATGTTAGACTTCACTAAAAAGAACCCAGGAACAGTTGTGTATCTTAAGCCAAGGCGCCATAGAAACCCAAGACTAGTAGCTGAATACTGTAAGTTCAGTTTGACTGCCAACAGTAATTTATAAATACATGTCATTTTACATTATGTTAACAATGCTGGGCAAATAATATGACTATGAATTGGTGCTTCATATGGATTGTTATTATGTCACCAGAGCTCCAGATAAGCTGCGTATCTGCGTAAAATATGCATCGGAAATGCCGAAATACGCAGTAAAATAAAATCCAAGCGTATCACATACGCAACGAACATTACAGATAAGCTACTAAATATAACTTGTGTGTATCATCAAAATATTGTGAAGTAACCCTGCGTATTCAAATAGCAAATCAGCAACTTATTTTGAAATTATAAACGGGCATTCCGTCAACCTTGCCAAACTCCACGATGACAGTTACATCACGATCATTTGCCATCACACTTTCTTGTGGAAGTATCGTGGTATTTTTGAGTCCTATAAAGCTCTCGAACCCACACGACACCAGTTTGCAGGGACTAGATAAATAGTGTTTTTAAATATTTAACTTAAATACCCACATGTGTAAAAACTAGTGGGTAACAGAAATTTGAATACCCGGATAGAATTACTGATACCCAATGATTTTAAAATGCATGGGTAAAATACCCACAACACCAAAAGCTTATCTGGAGCTCTGGTCACTTGTCTCTGGAAATGTGTTGTTGTCTCGTTTGTAGGCTGTCAACATTTCTACAATTCATGAAATCTATAATTTGTACTTGACAATCACTTGATATTACTAACGGTACATAAATTGTCCCTCCTACCATCTTCCTAACTAACCTATCACTTCAAACATTGTTTTCAATGTTATATGAATCATAAGATGAAATATTTGCATTTACGATTATGGATGTGTTTGGAGGATCAAAGTATGACATGAAACACATCAGTTATATACCGGTATATTAACAAAAATTGACAGTGTTTCCATTGTACATGTTGTATATTCTTGTCAGCTTGTGTGATATTTTCTTCTGATTGTTTTCCTCTGATTGTCCACAGCTGTCAATATTCTTGTGTGATGTTTTCTTCTGATTGTCCACAGCTGCCTAAAAATGTTGATGAAAAGACTTGTCCTAATTTTTCAAGTTTGTGCACATTATCTCTGTGCTTAGTTCGGGAAGAGGTCACCTAATTTGCAGTATTGTGTCCATTAAGCATGCCAGAATCCTGTGATCATGTGTTGAAATCACATAATTACCCTGATTATGATTCTTGTTTCGTCATCGCTGCACGATGAACATGGGTTAAACCAATACACGTCAAATAAAGTCATTTGAGCTTTCCTCCCACATTAAACTTAAAACATACGTAACTGTAACACCCGACTCACTCGCTCATTTTGCATAGCAGGCCTGATGGGTTCAGAGGTCCAAAAATTCATAGTTGCATCCCTTTTCCATGCAAGGATCTGATGATGCATATCATTCACATAATTATCAATTGCTCATCCAAAACAGAACCAATACTAAAGTACAAAAGAGTATTTGAGGTGTTGACATTGGCTTTTTCTCCTATTGCCATGATATAAGTGCAACAGCATTGCATTCAAATCACTTGCATATTATTCTTAACATCACTTTCATGTGCTTTCACGTAATCAAGGTAACTGCGCTTCATGTTTCAGTGAATGGGAGGACGGAAACACTCAACATCCGCAACATGCCTCAAGACGAGATCTGTAAGTGGGTGGAACATTTCAGAACAAGGTCAGGTGTGCAGGTTGTCCGACTGCGAAAACAGTGGCACACAGAGACGCCTTCAATTCAGGGTGTGTGGTCGCCTTTCACAAACAGAGACTCAGAGTTGAATGTGACCGAGTTTCCTGATGCAGAACTGTCAAAGGCCATCAGTGCACCCACAGCCACGGACAGAGTTCTTGCGATGGCGAGAGAGATAGGTGTTAAGAAACATGAGCCTTTAAGTGAAAAGGAATAGAAGAAATTTGTGCAAGTTGTGTGTATGGCATAGTGTGAATGTGTTCAGTCAATAAATCAAATTCTTATAAATATTGTTCTTTTTTCTCACATACATACTTTCTGATTAGCAGCAGCATTATTAGATCTGAGGGGGCACTGGGGGCCAAGTCGTCTTAAGTGTCACAAACCACATGAAAACGTGTATTTTTTTACATTTTTGAAACTAGATCAATTAGCATGCTCATTAAATTAAACAATGATATATTGTGATATAAGTTCAGACTCCATTTCCAATTTTCTTCACTCAAAGAGTGGAGTTGGGTTTTTATCAGGGCATGTCCAAGGGACACAACTCTGCACAGCAAACTGTGGCTCCTAAGATGACTGGCCACTTTAAACAAGGAATACACCATACATAATTTGCAGTTAGGTCAAGTGTGTCCACAAACTGTGGGCGTCAAGCAGGTTGCCATGGCAATCCCCTATTTTCATGCTAGGAACTCCTCAATACTTCCCAGTCCCCAGGACTTAAGATGAGCTTCACCTCAGGACAAATCCTTGAATCAAGCAATTTTTGTCAGGAAATATTTTAGTCCTGGCAAGTATTGCTTGGACATCAACATGCCTACAAAGCTACACTATCATTACCATGCAGGATTTGTTAATTAATTACTTTAAAATCATCAGTATTTTCTGTAGTTTCACTGGGATCAATAACAGGGTTTCACAATATTTGTTGTACTGACTTGTGAAACTTGATAATGGTTTGACCACGAGAACACTGCATAGAAGTGATCTGACATTTACGAATATATCATATTGCTGGAATATTGCTGAGTGAAAACAAAGTCTTTCTGTATGAGTATGGTTTTACGCCGCTTTTAGCAATATTCCAGCAATATCACAGTTGGGGACACCAGAAATGGGCTTCACACATTGTACCCATGTCGGGAATCAAACCCGGGTTTTCGGCGAGATGAGCTAACGCATTAACCACTAGGCTACCTGACCGCCCCCTTTCTGTATGAGGTTCACTGATTGTGGGAGGTTACACTCCGTGTCATGCACATCTGGCTCGCCCATCACTTATTTCTGACTCTCACAATACACAAAAGCAGGGCATGTGTTATGGTTTATTTACATTAGGTACAAGCGAGGTGTTATCCGATGTCCATCATGTCTTCACCGGGCAGGTCGGGCACAGCAGCACACTGTTTCTCCATGTAGCTCTGCAGCTCCTCACTGTGGAACCGTGGTGGCTGGAACTGAAAGCAACGGATCTTTGTAAAAAAACTGTCATGTTTACCTCTGCTTGTAGAATAGTTTGTTAAAGGTGATAAATACACCACAGGGAATAACCCAAACATGTCACAAATCATAATGATGCTGAGATTAAAAACAGAAGCAGCCCCGTCATGGCCATTTCCTCAAAGCTAAATGCTGAATCTTGACCAAAACATGTTTCCAAAAATACTAGTAAAAAAACTCTTTCCCTCGGAACAAGGACATGCTGGATGTCTTGAAAATAAATTTGTTGTTTGTCTCCTTTCAGTGAAATAGGACCCGTGAAGATCCAGGGTAGAATTGGTCTTCTGCAACCCATGCTTGCAGAAAAAGGCGACTATACTTGTCTAAGAGGTGACTAACGGGATTAGGTGGTCAGGCTTGCTGTCTTGGTTGATGCATGTCATCGACCCCAATTGCGTGGATCGATGCTCATGATATCAATCACTAGATTGTCTGGTCCAGACTAGATTATTTACAGACCGCCGTCATACAGCTGGAATATTGCTGAGTGAGGTGTAAAACAACAAATCAACCAACCAATCAGTGAAATAGATTGCATGTCTTAAAGACATGGCTCTAAAGAAATCCCAGACCAATCTGAATATCAAATGGTTTGTTCCAAGAAAGGGTTTCATTAACTAACTACCAAGCTTTTTCTTAATGAACTACCAACCTTTTTCTTTTTTGTTTTCACTTGTGCAGGTATAGATGTGTCTAGGATGTGCTGGGTCAAGTCGTAGCGCCTGTACAGGTCTTTCGGAGCTCTGTAAATAGATACAGTACAGTCTCATGTTATACATCTTAAACTTATACAGATGAGAAAGATGGTGTCACTGTAGGTGTTGGGGGTGTGATACCCTTCCCCCTCGGCAACTGATTCTCACCGCTCCTTGGTTCCAGGGATGATGAAGCTCAAAGTACAAGTCAGATTTGTTGCTCAAAGTCCATTTATTGTATTGAAAGATCGTAACACAGCTCGTTACAACATGACTTGTTTATTCAAGATCTAGACTCGAAACTGCTGTTTCTACCATCTCTGTTACATCCTCATAACCTACCCAGGTATCCTAGCAACATGTACCAAACATTTGATCACTTACCATTACTTACCAGTTACTTAACAACATTAGAAGTTCCCCACACTGACAGTGTCTACATTCGTTACTACTCCCTGGTATCTAGAGTTATCTCCCTTTGACAGTAAGCACTTGTCACGAACAGTAGACAGAATTCTTGAATATTACACACAGTAGTTCCTCAGATGTGTTTCTGATGCTGACATATATACACAACACATACCTAGGGGATGCATTGAAGAGCCTGATAGTACTTCTTATCAACTTTTAACTCTGTAACATTTTCTGATTCCAACTTTCAACATACAGAAAGAATCTCTCTGGTCAGCAGTGGGTGTCGGGACTCTGCTCCACTCTCGGACAACTAACAAAATACCATCAACGATAATTTTAGCTCCTCCCACCAAAATAATATTTGACATCATGCAAAATGAATTGTAACACTGTTCTCAGGAGTAACTAATTTCAATTCCCTCACTTGTAGATTCAGTCAGTGCTGTCAGACTCTTCATGCCTGAGATAACTCAGTTAACTGACAAAGTTCATCCGTTTATAAAACATCGGTCAAGCGTACATAGAATGAAAAATGAATACTATGTCAGGTTGGTAGGCCTCAGTAAACCCTTAATCATGCCATTCCAATCAAGCAGTAGTTCTTACAATATTTGGTCACGTCAAGACTGACCATATTTATGCCTGATTGAGAAAATGTAACTCCCAGCCTAGTGTGCCAAGGGTGGAAAGTGGACTTTCATGGTGAGTAATCTCCCTTGCCTCAGGAAGATGTCACAAGCCTGAAGAGTGATAACATACAGGGAAGGTCCCTAAAAAGCCTGAAATTCTAAGGGCCCTTAGGACACCTTCCACATCAGACAAACTGACCTGGGCAAGTGCCAAGTTGCATCCCTGAGTTTATAATAAGCTTCATGTATCTAATGCACCAAATCCACGCCCTGAAGCATGCACAACTGGTCAATGAAACAATGTGCACTCAATTTTCTTTCTCAGCTCCCTGGGGAGTATACAACCCAAGCTGCCTGTGAGGCACTAGAAGGTTAACAATCATCATCTCATCCTACTGGGTACCCATTCACTGCTGGGTGAACAGAGAGGCATATTTAAGTGCTTCAGTGTGGGGCATGACCCAACTCCTAGCAACTCTCAGGATAAACTGCTTGACATGGTCACCCATCCAATTTCTCTCCACTACCGACGCTGCTTACCTTCACTTGACTTGTGACCTGTGCACTGTACCCAGGACCACATGCCACCGCAGTTGAATACAGTCACCCATACAACTACTAATAATAGGCCATTTATATTGCTCATATTTCCACACCACTCAGGGGCATGCTCAAAGTGCTATTATTACCCCAGTCACTGGATCAGTGTGCGCTCAACAATCATTTTCAGCTCCCTGGGGAGTATACTACACCCCAAGCTGTGTGTTAGGCGCAAGAAGGTTAACAACCACGTTGCCCGCTCATCCTGCTGGGCAAACAGAGGCACATTTCGAAGTCACTTGCCCAAGGACACACCACATGTGTTGACTGTGCTTCAGTGTGGGGCAGGACCACAGCTCTACAAACTCTCAGGAGCCAAGCTGACGAACAGGTCACCCATCCAAGGACTCTCCACGACCGATATTGCTTAACTTCACTGATTTGTTACCTGTTCGCTGTACACAGGACCACGTGCTATCGTACCTCACATCACAAGATTAGAAGCCCGACACACAAGTCAGGACTTCACCAACCAATCCCCTGATGTTCCTCCCAGCATGGCCTGCTCCCTGTAATCCCCCAGGGGCAGCTGTTCATGAGACTTACACTCTGGCCAGATTCGTCGCCAACTGGCCCTCCCCTGTAGACGGCGCCATGCGACTGATGTGAGCTGTGTACTGACGGACGACCGGGTGAAAGTGGTGCTGAAACAACCAAGACAATCTCAATCCAACAATAGATGGCATACAGTGATCCAAATACTGAAAACAACACCTGTACCCATCATCCACCAGATTCCACGTGCCGTGATGGATGACTCAGGAACATAGGCTCTGTATCTCAGAGTTTGATACCTTTTTTGGTAACCTGAGGACTAAGGAAGACAACAAAAAACATGCTTTAACTGAAAGGTGTTTGCATTAGGACACCCTTTTTTCATCTTATGTTTCACTAATTTAATCCAGCTTTGCCACACAAGGTCAGTCGAAATAAAAATAAAAAATTTAATTATTTATTAATATATAAAATCATTCTGCTGTGGAGTTGCAGGTGGCCTCTTGAATCACTAATAGCGATGTATACATGGGATTTACATATAACATTTTATATTGTATAAGAGGTTCTATATTAGTAGTGGGAGACACAATAAAAATAAATATTTTTAAGTTTAATTTATTTCTTAGAGTAGGGGCGAAGAGCCAGTGAAATGAAAAATAAAAAGTGTGGCCTTACACAGATGCAGCCCCATTCATACCTTTTCCTGAATGTCCCCAAACTGTCACACCAGAAAACATGCATCATGAACCCTTCTAACTTGGTAACTGTGAGTTTGATGCATGAGGGTAAGCATGCACCTGTAGGAACGTCATAGACAACCACACCCATGAGAGCCACTCACCTGTAGAAGTGTCAGCTCCCACACAACAGTGTTCTGGGCATTGCAGTGTTCAGGGTCCTCGATGTCTGGGCGGAACACTCCACTCCCCTCAGCCTCATTGTCAAACAGCCGGTCCGTGCAGGGGAAGCCCTGCGAGAAGTGACACATAGATGCAGTTTATCTCTGTGTTATACAGTCTGTAGGCTACCAACCTATGTGATTTCGCCATACAGTCAAGGCCCAGAAATCTAATACACCACATTAAGTTGGACATTTAACAGCCAGGATCTGTTCCATCTAGGGCTGGGACGAGTCCAAATTTACTACCCGGGTACCCAACCCCCTATTACCCGACCCTACCCAGGTACCCACTGTAGGTCTCAAGAGATATAAAATGTCCGATTGGGAATTTTTTTTACCACAGCACTTGCAAAACGTATTTTGATACATGTATCATACACTGACGTTGACTTAAGTTATATCTTTATTCAACCATATGAAAAATCAGAAGGAATGGGTGCATAGTCAGAAGTGACTTGTAGTGTAACCATAGAGTTCCAGATAGTTTTTGCCATTAAACAATATATCACATGACTAACCACGGGCCCGGGTAGTCCTGTGGGTACCCGAGTTACCCGTCTCAGCCCTAGTTCCATCTTATTAAAATCAGATCTTTTACTCTGATATGATACATCTCTGCATGAAGATCGGACACTAAAGAAGGTCTTCTATGAAGGGCTCATCAGATCTTGACACAGAAAGGTCTTATGTCGAAGTCAAAGATCTGATGTTAATGAGATTGGGATTTGCGTTCAGATCCCAGAATCACTGATAATGACCCTTGACAAATCGGCCCCATCCTGAAATGCAATTGTCTACGACCTCACTTCGATCTGTGGTCCTGTGTTATAGTCACCAGGCTGCCTGTGGTTGAGTGTTAGCTCACCAGGCTGCCTGTGGCCAAGTTTTAGCTAACCTGGCTGCAAGTGGTCGAGTGTTATCTCACCTGGCTGCAAGTGGTCAAGTGTTAGCTCATTTGGCTGCCTGTGGTCAAGTGTTAGCTCACCTGGGTACCTGTGGCTCAGTGTTAGCTCACCTGGCTACCTGTGGTCAAGTGTTACCTCACCTAGCTGCAAGTGGTAGAGTGATAGCTCACCTGGCTGCCTGTGGTAGAGTGATAGCTCACCTGGCTGCCTGTGGTTGAGTGTTAGCTCACCTGGCTGCCTGTGGTTGAGTGTTAGCTCACCTGAATGAGTCCCCGGATGGTGGAGAGGAGTCCGAGCACCGAGTGGGGCATCTGCTGCAGCGTCAGTGTGCTCAGCCTCTTCATGTACGACAAGATCCTCTGCTGGGACACCTACACAACATCAGTGATACATGAACACATGTCCAGTGCCCCCTCAACAGAGCCATCTAGGAGCCACAACTGTCCTAACTCCCAAACCATGACACAGGTTTATAACAGTCTAATGCTAAGATCACTTTGTGTAACCAGGCCCTGATTGGTATCATGCGTCTCCACAGAGATGCTGTCAATACATTGGTCATACACAGATGTATGCACAACCAACAAACTCCTCAGGTCTGTGGACCCTTGGGCAGTATCATGTGTCTTACATCATCTTTGTGTGGACACAGTTTTAAGAAAGTTTACCTGTTAGTCTTAAGATATGGTCTGGACAAACACACCATATGAGTCAAAATCAAACTTGTTGCCATGGAAATTGACAAAAATAAAAATCCCCAAATAGCAAAAGGCACCACATCAGGATCTGTTTGATATATCTGCCAAGGTTTGTTGAAAGATATTGAACGGTTTTCGTTACGCTCCAGAAGCAAAATGATTCCGGGCGGACGGAAAGAAGAGGCATCGACAACATCCACTCACATTATATGCCAGGGGGATAACAAGGAAACAACACGTACATTGCACACATGGCAATATATTCGGCTACCTTTTGAAGCACAAGTTTTTTCCCACCTAACATCTGTTGGCCAAGAAATTCAAAATGCTGGTCTTTAGACAAAAAGAGTGAGTGAGTGAGTTTGGTTTAACGCTGCTTTTATCAGTATTCCAGTTATATCATGGCGTGTCAGCTTAATGTGGGAGGAAAGCCCGAAGTGATGTAGGTCTCAGACGTTTGCCACTTCGGTGAAACCCACGAGCACAGGTATGGTGCTGACAAACCTAGAAACATAATCTGGGCGAACCGGGATTCGAACCCACAATCATAGGTTTCTGGCGTGTCCAAGAGACGAAACTCTGCACAGCGAATCGCGGCGCCTTAGACGACTGGGCCACCCGTGCCCCCAAGACAAAAAGAACTGTTTGGACTTTTTCTTGAATGATTGTTTCCATGGCGGTCATAATTACCTGATACCATGATAAGTTACGCCTCAATTTACTTCCTGGCTGATGTATCCACGATAGAGTCAAGAGAGTCTGAATCCTGCTTCAAGTTTTATCATCCAACATAACAAATGACAAATGTCCCTTCCTCAACTGACACACAGTTACAGATGTGTGTGTCCTGAAGGTGGTGACATGCATCACAACTATATACCTGGTAACGAGATTCTCACCTGCTTTCTCCTACGGCTGATCATGAGGTCCAGGCAGTCCAGGATGATGGGGACGTCGTCACTTGAGCGTCCTGAGGAGGAGGAGGGCACAGAGTTAGTGAATGTGGTTTAACGCCTCTTTCAGCAATATTCCAACAATATCACAGTGGAGGAATTGAATCCAGGTCTTTGGCGTGACGAGCGAACGCTTTAACCACTAGGTTACCCCACTGCCCCAATTTGTCTATAGTAATTTAACCACACGTCCAATAACTGACTTAAGAATTAAAGTTTGCTCTACCCCATGTGTAATATAATAAAGCAAAATTTTGCCTGAACTATAATACCGGTAGTGAAAACACAAGGCTGCCAACGTTCTAATAGTTCAGGGCAAAACGATACATTATTACACCACACGTTGGGTAGAACAAACATTGTTATTTTTCTAAGATGCCTAAGTTATGACTAGCCTTGTCTTTTATGAGAGATGGGTTTAAAATGAAATCTGTAATAAATGGTGCCTTAAATTGAAAATCCTTTAACAGGGCTAACTGACAGGCTGTTCCACCTAATTGCCTGCACCCTGACATTAATACACAAAAGTGGGTTTAAAACAAAATATAATATCGGTAAAATTGATAGTTTTACTAAGTCACATTTTATCCTCCATTCAGGGTGTGATTATCCATAACCCTATGGTTATTGTGTCGCTGGTTATAGTGAGTTGAGGTGTTTTCTGTCATACAAGTTGCAACCTTGTTTCCAGCAATAATGTTAGAGACTGCAGCAACAGCAAGCCATGCAATAGCGTGCTTACCAAGCCGGTTGCACTACTTAACATTGTAACTCACGTGAATCAACGGCCTGATTAGGGCGTGATATGGCTCGCTATGGGATGAACATGGTGGACTGACGGAGGACGAGCAACAGCCATTTTGTTTGACTTAAGTATGATGCCTGTTGCCCCACTGAGCAACAGGTGTACACGTGGTTATGAAATCTTTCAAGAATTGCCCATGCCTGTGTCTATACACAGCCATAATTCCCCCGGCACTGACGTCCGCCCCGGACAACTCTGTGGCTGCTTTGGCAGGGACACTGGTTTGAGTCAGTGAGTGAGTGAGTTGGGTTTAACGCCGCTTTTAACAGTATTCCAGTCATATCACGGCGTGTCAGCTTAATGTGGGAGGAAAGCCCGAAGTGATGCAGGTCTCAGACGTTTACCACTTCGGTGAAACCCACGAGCACGGGTATGGTGCTGACAAACCTAGAAACATAATCGGGGTGAACCAGGATTCGAACCCACAATCATAGGTTTCTGGCGTGCCCAAGGGACGAAAACTTTGCACAGCGAATCGCGGCGCCTTAGACGACTGGGCCACCCGTGCCCCCAGACACTGGTTTGAATATGTTTGGGAAAACCCAACTGCATGAGAGGTGAGGTGAGGTGAAATGGGGTTTAACGTCGCGTCCAAGATTATTGCACTTATATAACGATGTGCATGTACGTGTGTGTGTTTGTGTGGCTGCTTGTACTAGTCCGGACTGATGCTGATTTATAGTGCTAGCTCACCAAGATACCAAGCCGCAGTTTAACATGAATACCCCACTCAGACACAGTATACTGACACTGAGCCGACCAGTCCTTGTTTTAGCCCCTTAATGCCGAGTGCAAGACAGGGTAACAACAAGTACCATCTTTTAACATCTTTTGGTATGACGCGGCTGGGGATCGAACCCCGGACCTTCCGCTCTCCGGGCGGACGCTCTACCACTAGACCACGAAGGCGGTCAACTGCATGAGAGATGGTAGACATAATCTTTCCAGATGCGCCACCTTGCTTGACAGTAATGAAAGAATGATGTTTCAATGATACGTTAGATCACAGGGGAGGTAATTTTAATAGTGCCCAGACATCAGTCCATTATGATGCAACTCATAAAGTGTACAGTCGGGTCCTTTAATCTTTAGCGAAGCCTCATAGAATAGTGTATAGTAGTGACTAGTGTATACAGGTGTTGGGCAAAGGTAAGTTAGCCACATTTTACTGTTTACTGCCTGGGACAATGGTTATCTCCCCCTCGGGTCACCATCAACACACCTGCGTGGACCTTGAAGAGCATCTGGTAGAGCTGCTTGTAGAAAGTCATGGGGTCAATGTTGAGGGCGGAGCCCTGCCCCGTCAGTATGGTGAAGGCTGTCTGGACACAGTGCAGACTCTCGCGGTACGTCAGGTCCTGGAGGGAGAGACAAGGAATGACAGTGTGTTTAACACCAGTCAGCAATATTCCAGCAGTCAGCAATATTCCTGTACAGTCAGCAATATTCCTGCAAAGTCAGCAATATTCCTGTACAGTCAGCAATATTCCTGTGCAGTCAGCAATATTCCTGCACAGTCAGCAATATTCCTGCAAAGTCAGCAATATTCCTGCAAAGTCAGCAATATTCCTGCAAAGTCAGCAATATTCCTGTACAGTCAGTTTATACTATACAGACCGCCATCATGCAGCTGGAATATGGTGCAGTGGTAAACAACAAACAAACAAACATAAAAAACTCACTTCAGGTAAACAAAACAGGAGATATTAAAGTTTGTCATTTCATGATTTACGGTATCACTCCAAATTTATGATATTATTAAATAATGTATGTGATCACCTTCCAAAATCAGTGTTGTTCATCATAATAGCTAAAATGGATAGAATTATCATTAAACTGCCCGCATGTTATCAGAAACGATCAGGCCACTGTAACTTGATAATGCCCTCATATTGCTTGACGACAGGCCATTATCACGGCCATTGTTGGGTGACGTCATAGGGAGTGCAACAGTGACGTCATCTGGTTTGTTCTATGATGTTTCCATATTTGTAAAAGTGGGTCAGTGACAATCGTTGAGTGTTGATAGCAGTAAATGTTTGAAAACTGATATTGTTGCTTATTTTTATTTGCTAACAAATTCTATCCATTTTAGCTATAATAACGGTAATGCTATTTTTCAGGGCATTATCATTTGCAGAAGCTCTTTGTCGTCGGGCAGTTAATGGAAGACCTCAGGCTCCTGCAAATGATAATGCCCTGAAAAATAGCGTTACCCCTTATATTACTGGTTGGGTGTTGAAACTGACAGTGTTGAAAGTATTTACTTACACCTGACGTGATGAGGGACTGAAACACCTTGAATAAGTCATCAAAGAATTCTATGTTGATGAGATGTGCGAACCTGAAGATGAAGAATAACATCATATACAGCACATACTTGGGCTTGGACGAGTCCAAATTTACTACCCGGATACCCAACCCCCTATTACCCGACCCTACCGGGGTACCCACTGCAGGTCTCAAGAGTTGGGAACAAAATGTCTGATTGGTAATTGTCTTACCACAGCCCTGGCCAGAACTATTTAGATATGTATCAAACAGTCAGATCATGCATACACGGAAGTTGACTGAAGCTTTATCTTTCCTCAAACATATATAAGTTAAAGGGAATGTGTGCATCGTCAGATAGAAATCCGAACATTAGCGACTTGTAGTGTCACCACTGAGCTATAGTGAGTTGTTGTCATTAAACAATATATCACATGATTAACCACGGGTCCGGGTAGTCCTGTGGGTACCCAGCTCCTACTCAGGACCCACCCGACCTGAGTACCCGTGTTATCCGTCCCAGCCCTAACACATACATTCCAACAAACATCCGCTGAACAATGTCATTTCGTGCCTGAACATGTGACAGGGTGACACATTGTTTACAAAAGTAAAACAATTATGACTGTCGCCAACCATGTAAGCCATCTCTGTTCTAGGCAACCAAGTAGAATTACCTTACAGCGAAACCAGCTCATCCATGTCGCGAAAATAGAGCAACAGCAGAAGTGGTGAAAATAGGAGCATGCTCATTTGTGAAGCAGGGCGGTCGGGTAGCCTAGTGGTTAAAGCGTTCGCTCGTCACGCCAAAGACCCGGGTTCGATTCCCGACATGGGTACAATGTGTGAAGCCCATTTCTGGTGTCCCCCGTCGTGATATTGCTGGAATATTGCTAAAAGCAGCGTAAAACCATACTCACTCACTCACTCACTGTTGGTTCTGCATACATTTGTGTATGACCAATGTATCGACAGCATCTCTGCAGAGACGCATGGTTACAGGGCCTGGTTACACAAAGTGAACTTAGCATTAGACTGTTATAAATCTGTGTCATGGTTTGGGAGTTAAGACAGTTGTGGCTCCTAGATGGCTCTATCGAAGGTGCACTGGATATGTGCTCACTCACTCACTCATTTGTGAAGCAAAACTTGGAACCTTTATCATGTTACTATCTTCGTCGGTTGACCTGACCTAGCTCATATAAACATGCTTTCTTTGTAATTTCAGGGGGCTTTTGGGTAGCCTAGTGGTAAAAGCATTTGCTTGTCACGCCGAAAGCCTGGGTTTGATTCCCGACATGGGTACAATGTGTAAAACCGATTCTGGTGTCACTTGCCGTGATATTGCTGGAATATTGAGTAAAGCGGCGTAAAACCATACTCACTCACTCACTCTTTGTAATGTCACACTTCTGATATATGGAATCTAGACCATGTGTCAAGCAGGAAAAGTTAAGTTTGTGAGAAAAGTAAACACTCTTATATCATACTGCAAATACCCCATCATGGTGCTCTAAATCGACAATGGTGTCATCACTTGCCAGTTCACGAGATAGTGACGGTAAAGGAAGGACTATATGCATTCGTCACATACAACAGGACATGATGGAAGTGCATGTAAAACACAGTGGACACATGTTTACCAGACACAGCAACTCATGCAGGACACAGGACAGAAGTATGTATAGCAGTGAATGGAAACCCAGTCAGATGTGACTGTTAACCTTCTAGCTCCTCGCAGGCAGCTTGGGTTGTAATCTCCCAAGGGAGTACTAGTTTAAAGACAGAGATATGTATCTAATTGTGATGCTCCAATTAACTGTTTTCATCGATGGGTGATGAAGAATACTGTGAAAAGATGTTTCTCAGATTGTGTATTTTCAGTTATGACTTGTCATCAGTTGCTGTGCCATCCAAAAATCCATGTCAACCGATTCCAAACACTGTTATCACAACCCACCTGTATAACCTGACATAATAATGTTCCTACCTGGCCAGTCCCTCTAGGACTGATGGCAGGAGCACAGACTGTGTGGCATTCTTCAGGATCCGGAAGTAGGTCACAAACACTGCATGGATAATCTCTGTGTGCTGTAACAAGAAAGTCACGAACACTGACAGAGGCGGTTTGCTTGATACAGGAAACTGCTTTGCGATGTTGTCAAGTAAAGCGAATCAGTCCACGCATGTCTCAACTTCCTAAACTCAAAGCACTGCACACAGTAAAATTATTTATTGTAACTGAATCCTCACACCGCTATATGAAACTATCTTCACCCCACCAACATCTATCTCCCCTCCCTATTCGCCCAACAAACACCTCCTCTTTTTATCCCACCAACATCTCCCCTCCCTATTCACCTCACCAACATCCCCCCTCACTATTCACCTCACCAATATCTCCCCTCGCTATTCACCTCACCAACATCTCCCCTCACTATTCACCTCACCAACATCTCCCCTCCCTATTCACTTCACCCCACCAACATCTGACTCCCTATTCACCTCACAAACATCTCCCCTCCCTATTCACCTCACCAACATCTCCCCTCCCTATTCACTTCACCTCACCAACATCTGACTCCCTATTCACCTCACCAACATCTCCACTCGCTATTCACCTCACCAACATCTCCCCTCACTATTCACCTCACCAACATCTCCCCTCCCTATTCACTTCACCCCACCAACATCTGACTTCCTATTCACCTCACAAAAATCTCCCCTCCCTATTCACCTCACCAACATCTCCCCTCCCTATTCACTTCACCTCACCAACATCTGACTCCCTATTCACCTCACCAACATCTCCACTCGCTATGCACCTCATCAACATCTCCCCTCGCTATTCACCTCATCGACATCTCCCCTCACTATTCACCTCACCAACATCTCTCCTCACTATTCACCTCACCGATATCTCCTCTCACTATTCACCTCACCAATATCTCCCATCACTATTCACCTCATCAACATCTCCCCTCCCTATTCACATTAACATCTCCCCTCCCTATTCACCTCATCTACATCTCCCCTCGCTATTCACCTCACCAACATCTCCCCTCGCTATTCACCTCATCAACATCTCCCCTCCCTATTCACATTAACATCTCCCCTCGCTATTCACCTCACCAACATCCCCCCTCCCTATTCACCTCACCAACATCCCCCCTCCCTATTCACCTCACCAACATCTCCCCTCCCTAATCACCTCATCAACATCTCCCCTCCCTATTCACATTAACATCTCCCCTCGCTATTCACCTCATCGACATCTCCCATCACTATTCACCTCATCAACATCTCCCCTCCCTATTCACCTCACCAACATCCCCCCTCCCTATTCACCTCATCAACATCCCCCCTCCCTATTCACCTCATCGACATCTCCCATCACTATTCACCTCATGAACATCTCCCCTCCCTATTCACCTCACCAACATCTCCCCTCCCCTCCCTAATCACCTCATCAACATCTCCCCTCCCTATTCACATTAACATCTCCCCTCGCTATTCACCTCACCAACATCCCCCCTCCCTATTCACCTCACCAACATCTCCCCTCCCTATTCACCTCATCAACATCTCCCCTCCCTATTCACCTCACCAACATCTCCCCTCCCTATTCACCTCATCAACATCTCCCCTCCCTATTCACATTAACATCTCCCCTCCCTATTCACCTCATCGACATCTCCCATCACTATTCACCTCATCAACATCTCCCGTCCCTATTCACCTCAACAACATCCCCCCTCCCTATTCACCTCATCAACATCCCCCCCTCCCTATTCACCTCATCAACACCTCCCATCACTATTCACCTCATGAACATCTCCCATCACTATTCACCTCACCAACATCTCCCCTCCCTATTCACCTCATCAACATCCCCCCTCCCTATTCACCTCACCAACATCTCCCCACCCTATTCACCTCATGAAGATCTCCCATCACTATTCACCTCATCAACATCTCCCCTCCCTATTCACCTCACCAACATACCCCCTCCCTATTCACCTCACCAACATCTCCCCTCCCTATTCACCTCACCAACATCTCCCCTCCCTATTCACCTCACCAACATCTCCCCTCCCTATTCACCTCATCAACATCTCCCCTCCCTATTCACCTCATCAACACACCCCCTCCCTATTCACCTCATCAACATCCCCCCTCCCTATTCACCTCATCAACACCTCCCATCACTATTCACCTCATGAACATCTCCCATCACTATTCACCTCACCAACATCTCCCCTCCCTATTCACCTCACCAACATCCCCCCTCCCTATTCACCTCACCAACATCTCCCCTCCCTATTCACCTCATGAAGATCTCCCATCACTATTCACCTCATCAACATCTCCCCTCCCTATTCACCTCACCAACACACACCCCTCCCTATTCACCTCATCAACATCTCCCCTCCCTATTCACCCCATCATTATCTCCCATCACTATTCACCTCATCAACATCTCCCCTCACTATTCACCCCACCCCACCAACATATCCCCTCCTATTCACATCCCCACATCTCCACTCCCTACTTACCAGTTTCAGCTTCTTCTTCTTGTCTTCTGTGGCCTGGACCTCCTGCAGCTCCTGATTGATCTTGTCCATCGCTTTCTTCCTCTGAAACATTGAGCTGTAGCCTAGCAACACCTTGGATCTATCTCTGTGCCTTTGGCAAGCAAAGTTGGAAACAATCATTGTTTTGTTCAAAATTGAGATTCTTATAAGGTCTTAATTTCTTCAATTAAAGCACTTATAATATCTAAGATCAACTTTACATTTAATGCAACAATGTAAGGCCAAACATAAAAGCCTCTTCCTCTCTATTAGTCCTGATTTCAATGAAATACAAGTCGCCTCTACACAACGAGTGAGTGAGTGAGTTGGTTTTAACACCGCTTTTAACAGTATTACAGTTATATCGCGGCGTGTCAGCTTAATGCGGGAGGAAAGCCCGAAGTCATGCAGGTCTCAGATGTTTACCACTTCGGTGAAACACAAGAGCACGGGTATGGTGCTTACAAAACCTAGAAACATAATCAGGGCGAACCGGGAATCGAACCCACAATCATAGGTTTCTGGCGTGTCCAAGGGACGCAACTCTGCAGAGCGAATCTTTAAAATGACCACATCCATGTTGAATAAATCTAACCTAACAAACCTTCTTTTCTTTCTTTGACAATCTCTGTAGTTGTTCTTTCCGCCTCTCGACTTTCTGATTTTCCCCAAATGTGGACAAGTCGACCTCTCTGATCTTGAGAGCTAAAAGTGTGTCCAGTACCTACACAGCAATAAAAGTCACTTTCCATCAAATACACAAACATTTGTCACACACACTGTCCATCAAATACACAAGCATGTGTCACACACACTGTCCATCAAATACACAAACATGTGTCACACACACTGTCCATCAAATACACAAACATGTGTCACACACACTTTCCATCAAATACACAAACATTTGTCACATTTACTGTCCATCAAAAACACAAACATTTGTCACACACACTGTCTATCAAATACACAAACATTTGTCACACACACTGTCCATCAAATACACAAACATTTGTCACACACTGTCCATCAAATACACAAACATTTGTCACACACACTGTCCATCAAATACACAAACATTTGTCACACACACTTTTCATCAAATACACAAACATTTGTCACACACACTGTCCATCAAATACACAAACATTTGTCACACACACTGTCCATCAAATACACAAACATTTGTCACACACTGTCCATCAAATACACAAACATTTGTCACACACACTGTCCATCAAATACACAAACATTTGTCACACACACTTTTCATCAAATACACAAACATTTGTCACACACACTGTCCATCAAATACACAAACATTTGTCACATTTACTGTCCATCAAATACACAAACATTTGTCACATTTACTGTCCATCAAATACACAAACATTTGTCACACATACTGTCCATCAAATACACAAACATTTATCACACACACTGTCCATCAAATACACAAACATTTGTCATACACACTGTCCATCAAATACACAAACATGTGTCACACACACTGTCCATCAAATACACAAACAGGTGTCACACACACTGTCCATCAAATACACACACATTTGTCACATTTACTGTCCATCAAATACACAAACATTTGTCACACACACTGTCCATCAAATACACAAACATTTGTCACATTTACTGTCCATCAAATACACAAACATTTGTCACACACACTGTCCATCAAATACACAAACATTTGTCACATTTACTGTCCATCAAATACACAAACATTTGTCACATTTACTGTCCATCAAATACACAAACATTTGTCACACACACTTTCCATCAAATACACAAACATTTGTCACACACACTGTCCATCAAATACACAAACATTTGTCATACACACTGTCCATCAAATACACAAACATGTGTCACACACACTGTCCATCAAATACACAAACAGGTGTCACACACACTGTCCATCAAATACACAAACATTTGTCACACACACTGTCCATCAAATACACAAACATTTGTCATACACACTGTCCATCAAATACACAAACATGTGTCACACACACTGTCCATCAAATACACAAACAGGTGTCACACACACTGTCCATCAAATACACAAACATTTGTCACATTTACTGTCCATCAAATACACAAACATTTGTCAAATTTACTGTCCGACCATCGCTGGGGACCAATTCTACCCGGGAATCCCCGCAGGGACAACAAATCAGGCAGTGAACACAGCAGGCAACATTGTGATGGGGCTTCACAAGAATATAACTGAGAATAATATCATTTAGCATGATGTAGGGCTACTTTTGTTTGTTTGTTTGTTGTTTAAAGCCGTACAGCTACATGATGGCAGTCAGTACATAATCGAGGCTGGACCAGAAAATCCAGTGATTGATATCATGAATATTGATCTACGCAATTGGGATACGATGACATGCATCCACCAAGCCTGACCGCCAAATCCTGTAAGTCGCCTTTTACGGCAAGCATGGGTTGCTGAAGACCTTTTCTAACCCGGATCTCATGTATGGCATCAATGAGTGATTACGACATTTACGACTCGGGCAGCACTCTATTGGGAACAAAAAGGGCTAACTGTTTCAAACGGGTGACACAGAAACACTTTGATGTTACCTTAGGCTTGACACTGTAGTTACACGCTTTGACCATTCGCCCAATACTTCGCACAATCTGAAAACAGAAGAAAACTATTTGAGCTAAAAGCATAAAACAAGGATAACTGTGATAACACAGAAAGCTATGGAGTTCTGACACACTTGTGGCACATGAGTGTACTGAGAGAGTTGACACACTTGTGGCCCATGAGTGTACTGAGAGAGTTGACACACTTGTGGCCCATGAGTGTACTGAGAGAGTTGACACACTTGTGGCCCATGAGTGTACCAAGAGAGTTGACACACTTGTGGCCCATGAGTGTACCAAGAGAGTTGACACACTTGTGGCCCATGAGTGTACTGAGAGAGTTGACACACCTGTGGCCCATGAGTGTACCAAGAGAGTTGACACACCTGTGGCCCATGAGTGTACCAAGAGAGTTGACACACCTGTGGCACATGAGTGTACCAAGAGAGTTGACACACCTGTGGCACGTGAGTGTACTGAGAGAGTTGACACACCTGTGGCACGTGAGTGTACCAAGAGAGTTGACACACCTGTGGCACGTGAGTGTACTGAGAGAGTTGACACACCTGTGGCACGTGAGTGTACTGAGAGAGTTGACACACCTGTGGCACGTGAGTGTACTGAGAGAGTTGACACACCTGTGGCACGTGAGTGTACTGAGAGAGTTGACACACTTGTGGCCCATGAGTGTACCAAGTGAGTTGACACACCTGTGGCCAATGAGTGTACCAAGAGAGTTGACACACCTGTGGCATGCGGGTGTACCAAGAGAGTTGACACACCTGTGGCACGCGGGTGTACTGAGAGAGTTGTCTCACCTGTCCCCCGTGGGTGTACTGAGAGAGTTGACTCACCTGTGACCAGTGAGTGTATACACCTGTAGCCTATGGGTGTAATGAGAGAGTTGACACACCTGTGGAACATAAGTGTACTGAGAGAGTTGACTCACCTGTGGCACGTGAGTGTACCACGAGAGTTGTCTCACGTGTCACCCGTGGGTGTACTGAGAGAGTTGACTCACCTGTGACCAGTGAGTGTACACACCTGTGCCCTGTGGGTGTACTGAGAGAGTTGTCTTACCTGTCCCCCGTGGGTGTACTGAGAGAGTTGACTCACCTGTGACCAGTGATTGTACTGAGAGAGTTGTCTCACCTGTGACCAGTGAGTGTACCAAGAGAGTTGTCTTACCTGTGGCCCGTGGGTGTACTGAGAGAGTTGTCTCACCTGTGGCCCGTGGGTGTACTGAGAGAGTTGACTCACCTGTGGCCCGTGGGTGTACTGAGAGAGTTGACTCACCTGTGGCCCGTGGGTGTACTGAGAGAGTTGTCTCACCTGTGACCAGTGAGTGTACACACCTGTCCCCCGTGGGTGTACTGAGAGAGTTGACTCACCTGTGACCAGTGAGTGTACACACCTGTCCCCCGTGGGTGTACTGAGAGAGTTGACTCACCTGTGACCAGTGAGTGTACACACCTGTCCCCCGTGAGTGTACTGAGAGAGTTGTCTCACCTGTGGCCCGTGGGTGTACTGAGAGAGTTGACTCACCTGTGCCCCATGGGTGTACTGAGAGAGTTGTCTTACCTGTCCCCCGTGGGTGTACTGAGAGAGGACACACCTGACTGTGACCAGTGAGTGTACTGAGAGAGTTGTCTCACCTGTCACCCGTGGGTGTACTGAGAGAGTTGACTCACCTGACTGTGACCAGTGAGTGTACTGAGAGAGTTGTCTCACCTGTCACCCGTGGGTGTACTGAGAGAGGACACACCTGTGGCCCTTGGGTGTACTGAGAGAGTTGACTCACCTGTGACCAGTGGGTGTACTGAGAGAGTTGACTCATCTGTGACCAGAAAGTGTACACACCTGTGCCCCGTGGGTGTACTGAGAGAGTTGTCTTACCTGTCCCCCATTGGTGTACTCAGAGAGTTGACTCACCTGTGACCAGTGATTGTACTGAGAGAGTTGTCTCACCTGTGACCAGTGAGTGTACCAAGAGAGTTGACACACCTGTGGCCCGTGGGTGTACTGAGACAGTTGACTCACCTGTCACCCATGCATGTAAAGAGAGTTGACACACCTGTCACCCGTGGGTGTACCAAGAGAGTTGACTCACCTCCAGTGTCACCTGTCCTGCCTTGTCATCACGGAACACCTTGGTGACGGTGCTGATCACCTGGTCCCTCAGCACGGCGCCCCGTCGCATCAGTGGCATCAGGACGGTAATGATGTTGGAGGAGTAGTTGAAGTGGGGGTGGTGCACCAGCAGCTCACTCATACACCGACACGCCAGCTCAGACACGGACTGAAAATACATCACAAATTAATAAATTAAAAGTGATTCCATTGTATTTCATTGGCTAACCAAGCAATTTTGGTTGTATATAGTTTTCCATAAATCGAAAAATATAAAGCATGCCTACTAACGGACTACTATTTCCAGATTGGCTGAAAATATAATGGTTGCAACTTGACTTGCATTACTGCAATACATTAAAATTTGTTGCCATGAAAACAGAAAAACAAAAAAATTAATATATCTACAAATCAAAAGTTCCATGGAAAAATGGCAAACAGATTTCAAAACAGGGCTCGGAAAAGGATAGGAATGCTGACGTCAATGCCATCACACACCAATGCCAACACCAACGGAGCCAAAAACAATATGCCGCGCGTCCCTATTTCTTTTTGTGGGGGAGAGACACATCCAGGGCCACCACAACTGACAAGCGTCAAGGCGAGATACCCAATATAATTTGACTGAATGAATCAATGATAAAAGAAACACATCTGGCTGACATACTGACTTATGTAAATGGGGGAGTGTGCAAGATTACCCATAAGTTTGGTTGAATGCCACTTTGAACAGTATTTCAGTTACTTGATGCAGTGCCAGTATAAGGTGTGGGAGGAAAGCCCAAGTTTGGATAGGTTACCATAATCAGGGCAAACCCATGATTACAGGATCCTGGCATGCCAAAGGGACACAACTCAAATTGCAGCACTCAGACAACTTGGCTCCTGTAGTCACAGCTTAATATAACTAAGTTTCAAAAATATTCATCATAATTCTTGTGAGATGTTTTCATTTCATTTATCCAGAAGACAAGATACTGATAAGGTTTCACCCATTACTTAGTCTCATAACTTCCCACCTATTTCAGTTACCATGGTTATAGTGATGTGACAGTTTTCATTCAAATCTCACCCTTGACACATCTTTGGGAATCTCCATCTCAGGCTGCTTTTTACTCTTTGGCATTTTTCCTGTTTTGACAACAACAAAAAATCATAAACATTTTCACCAGTCACCCTAAGACAAACAAGCATGAAATACTCATATCCCCCGCCAATATGACATGTCCGGTTGTGTGCAAGACAAGAAATATTGTACGGTTTTTAAGGTCTGCTCCAGAAACGAGCACTACCGCCATTTTCAGTCTAAGTCAAAGTTGTTGCAATGGAAACTTGAAAAACAAAAAAAATTTAAATCCAAAACTAGCAAAAGGCACCTCAGTTCACCACTAGACCTCTTTATGTGCCAAGTTTGGTTAAGATATCTCTCATGGTTTTTGAGTTCTGCTTCAGAATATTTTGGGGAATATTAATCAAAAAGAAAACGAAGCATTCATCTAAGGCTGACTGGTGACACCCATGGTTAGAACCTGTCTTCAGCAACCCAAGCATGTTGTGAGAGGCGACTATGCTTGTCGTAAGAGGCGACTTTGGTTGTTGTAAGAGGCGACTAATGGGATTGGTTGGTTGCTGTCTTGGTTGATGCATGTCGTTGTTTCCCAATTGCATAGATCGATGCTCATGAAGTCAATCACTGGATTGTCAGGTCCAGACTCGATTATTTACAGACCGCCGTCATATAGCTGGAATATTGATGAGTGAGGCATTAAACAACAAACAAGCAAAAAAACAGCTGACTGGTGAAATGTACAGATGTGTTGCTCACCTTTGATTGACATCTCCAGATGTTCCAGGTACTCCTTATAATTAAGGAGCAGTGCACATTCATATTCGTGTAGGCTTCGTGTTTCTTTTTTCAACTAAACAAAAAAAAGAGAGAAAAGTCAGTGGGGCAGTTAGTATCAGTTCAAGCTGGTTCCATTCCATTCCAATAAGTCAAAAACAGAGTTTGTCAAAGTGTTGTTATACGTCAAGTTTCCTTCCCTCTGTATATGTGTGTGTGTGTGTGTGTCTGTCTGTCTGTGTGTGTGTCTGTGTCTCTGTCTCTGTGTGTCTGTGTCTGTCTGTGTGTGTCTGTGTGTGTGTGTGTGAGTGCGTGCGTGCGTGCGTCTGTCTGTCTGTCTGTGTGTGTGTGTGTCTGTGTCTGTCTTTGTGTGTGTCTGTGTCTGTCTTTGTGTGTGTCTGTGTCTGTCTTTGTGTCTGTCTTTGTGTGTGTCTGTGTCTGTCTTTGTGTGTGTCTGTGTGTGTGTCTGTGTGTGTGTCTGTGTGTGTGTGTGTGTCTTTGTGTGCAGGGATGTGAAATCTCCGCGGAAACGCGGAAAATCGCGTTTTTTAAAACAGTAGTCCTCGGAAAAAATCATCTTCCGCGTAAAAATTTAATTAAAAAAATTAAAAAAACACTCCGAAAAATATGATCGAAAACCGGATATTTGGCGCGGATTGTCCTGTTTTCGATGACGGCTTTCACCAGCATAGGTTTTCGGACATCATATGTTTTCTGTCACGAATACTTGCACTATAACATGGGGTGTGGCGTCACACATAAATTGTAAATACTCAGAGTCAGCTGATGGCTTGTTTTTAAGATAAAGTTGTCTTTTAGCCTGTAAGTGAATGAGATGTTTTACAGTTGTTCATGTGATAAGCGAAAAAACTATGAATGTTTCTTCAGCGTCCAAAACCCCATGTCATGGGGATAAATGTTGTATTTATGTCTTATGTTTGCAATGGAGTTTTGTTTGTTCCATCAAAAGGTAAGTACAAGGTAAGTTTTTTTCAATATGCTTCAACATGGGGAAAGGGTCAGACATTGCACGCTTGTGACAGTTGTCCTTGTGTCTGGGGAGTGGGGGTTGAAGTTTATGGCAGTATTGCTCCCAGACCAGTGCGCGAAAGCCATGCCCGATTTTTTAAAAGTACTGATTTAACTCAGAAATTTTACTGCATCTGCCATCTTGTTTATTTGACTTATTGACTTTTGCCATTGACTTATTACATTTCTTGATGTGAATGTTGTCCAAACTGCATGAAATTGCTTAAAATGCAATCAAATGTTTTAAAAATTTCTGGGGGGCCATGACCCCAGACCCCCCTAGACTTTTCCTCTTTTTTTCGGGAAAATCTGCTCACATCCCTGGTGTGTGTGTGTCTGTCTGTCTGTGTGTCTGTGCTTGTGTGTGTGTGTGTGTGTGTGTGTGCGTGCGGCTGTCTGTCTGTCTGTCTGTCTGTCTGTCTGTCTGTCTGTCTGTGTGTCTGTGTCTGTGTGTCTGTCTGTCTGTGTGTGTGTCTGTCTGTGTCTGTGTGTGTCTCTGACTGTGTTTGTGACTCTCTCTGTGTGTGTGTGTGTGTGTGTGTGTGTGTGTGTGTGTGTGTGTGTGTGTGTTTGTGTTTGTGTGTGTTTGTGCGACTGTGTGTGTGTGTGTGTGACACGTAGAAGCTGAGGAACCAACCTGCTGTGCCTTCTCCTTGTCTGTGAGCAGCCTGATCTTGTAGCCAGGGACGATGTCCTTAAACACCTCCATCAGTGACACCATCACTAGCTTCCTTACGGTGATGTACAGGTCAGGCTCCTTCTCGTTCAGCATCAGACGAAGCTCACGCACACGCCGGATCTGAGAAACATTGGCAACATAAAACACTGGTTAAAGTATCCTGTGCAATGTGTTCTTGGGTGTTAGTTTTTGTTCTCTAATTTTGTACCTCATTTACAGATGAAACATGTGAAAAGATAAGAAGACGAGGTCATCTATACCCCCGCCCAATGTCCACTCTTATGTGCTATCAAATGTGACATTGTAAACTATCAGTTTATCCACCTGCTTGTGGAAGAGGTTGAATACAAGATAATTGGGAGCATCATAAATAGCAAAAGGCACATCTACACTATATGGTGAAAGTGTTACCAAGTTTCTTAAAGAGATCTGTAAACATGGTAAAATAATTTTCCAGTTCCGCTCCGGAAATGAAACCCACTGCTTTCATTTTGTTCAAATTTATCAAATTTATATGAAATAAAAGAAAAATTCAGAGGAATCATAAATAGCAAAAGGTACATCACACTATATGGTGAATGTGTGTTGAAAGTTTCATAAAGATATCTCGAATAGTTTTCTCCGGAAACTGAACCCACTACTTCCATTCAGTTCAGAGGCTAAGTAAATATTTGAAAAAAATATATATAAAATATATTTAAATGCAGGGAAAACTTATATAGCAAACGGCACATCTACACCATATGGTGAATGTGTGTACCAAGTTTTGTAAAGTTATCTCTCATGGTTTCCATGTTCACTCTGGAAACAAAACGTGGTGGACGGACAGGACGGAGCCCGTTTCTATATCCCCCACCAACTTCGTTGGAGCAGGGGTAAAAATGGGGAAACACATATCTTATTCAAATAAGGCCCTGATAGTAGCATCCAAGTTAAATTGTTTGGATCAACAAATTGCCAGATTAACGGATGATTCTTGCGGAGTAATTTTTTCGTACATGTCTGGACATTCTGGAAATATACCACTCAAAAGAAGTTAAAGAATACACGATTGTTTCATATGACTATACTTAATCTGTCATAGCCATGACATATTAACTGTAGTCATGTGAAAAAAGCAGTGTTCCTTAACTTCTTGTGAGTAGTATATATGCCCTGTAAGTGGGTTTCCTGGTTTCCTGATTACCAGTTCTTGATCAATAGTTTTTCATGTTTCCGTGGTTACACAGTACAGAGATAATATATTTGTGAATTGTTCTAATAAACTATCTTTCAACCCTTAAGCAAGTCAAATGACTAAAAAAGCTCTTTCATGTCATCTGTCAACAGTATGATACACTGTCAATCCAACACACCCAAACAAGGTTTTGGTTTGTGACGGCGGTCTGTAAATAATCGAGTCTGGACCAGACAATCCAGTGATTAACATCATGTATATGTTACAATCAACACCTACGTTTTCTTGTGGGTTTTCCAGTATTGAAGTAGCTAACAAAGCAATGGTCTGTTTCCTCTCCTGCAATTTCCTGCTTCTCATGACCAAGAGCTCCACGTTAGAAAGTGGCCGAAGAGGTTTTTCCTCCACAGCTTCTGGACCCTTCATATCCTCTGCATCGACTTCACCATTTTCCCCTTCCTCATCTTCATCTGGAGGTCAAACATCAAAAGATTAAGTTATTAAAAATAACTTCAACAAACCTCGTAGGACAGATAATTTCTTTCCCATGTTTACACACCAGGAGTGAGTTGGGTTAAACACAGCGTAAGAAATTGGCACTAGTCCTGTTGTCCTTGCCAAACTGCCCAATAGTTAAGGTACCATAAGGACTACTAGAAATTTGCCCTTTTTAAGGGTTTTGCTATATATCATTATAAGGGCTAGTGGTTCAAACCTGTTAGTTTCTACCAGTGTAACATTGCCTTAAACAGTGTTCCAGTTATATCGCGGCATGTCAGCTTGATGTGGGAGGAAAGCCCGAAGTGATGCAGGTCTGACATGTACCACACAATCATCGGTCTGGTGTTGACAAAGTGAAACAATACGAAGTTCAAAAAGTAAAGAATGATCGGACTACCGGTAAATCTGAGAGAAAATGGAAACCCTTGAACAATTACTTTTTCTCTGAATCTAAGATTTCAAAACAATAATATACTGTTAATAATATTCAAGTCCTATCCACTTTCATCTATGTATTTAATGTGCGCTTCTTCTCACTGTTAATCCATTAGTCTTATGAAGCTCCATGACAATGACTAACGTGTACATGAATCATGACTACTTGAACTGAAATAAAAAACTTTGAAATTAAAGTTCCACATTCTAATCATCTATACATCAGCTGTCATACAAGGGAGACTGGGTAGGCATTCTTCCCTGGAAGTATCATAAGATTGCTTTTTTGTTGTGTAATACCGCACTCAGCAATATTAAAAAATATCATGGCAGCCTGTCTGGACCAGACAATCTAGTGATTGATACTGTGAACAACAATCCATGTACAGTGACACAGCCATTGACTGACTCACCGAGTTTAACATCAATCCATTTGGTCTTCAGACCACATGTTCCTGGGGACCAATTCTAACCCCACTGGGGTCCCAGAGGTAAACGTGCTTCAAATTCATATATGAGAAGGCATATAGTATACAGCAACAGGCAATCTCCCTACTGTCTGATTCCAGTGAGGCTTTTAACATGTATATAATACTTGCAATGTTTGGAAATTTTGGATGAAATTTAAAGGGTCATTTCCTTAATTCTCATGTCAAAATGACATATTAAGGGGGACGGTTGATAACATGAATGATTACAATTATGTTTGTTTATGTTTGCTTGTTTGTTTTTAATGCTTCACTCAGCAATATTCCAGTTATATGATGGCGGTCTGAAAATATTCAAGTCTGGACCAGACAATCTTGTGATCGATGTCATGAGCATCGATCCACGCAAATTGGGATACGATGACATGCATCAACCAAGTCAGCAAGCCGAGGCTACGCATACGACAAACATAGTCACCTTTTATGGCAAGCATGGGTTGTACCCAGATTTTCATAGGACAATTAAAATTAGGAAGCCAAAACAAAATCATGTTCACTGGAACTGTTATTACACAAAAATTCTCTTGTGGTATCAATGGCAACATAGGAGTGTTCCTACCTATCTCCTCCACCATTCTTGTGATGACCTTGCCACTGTCGCCTTTGATTGGCAGCAGCATTTTCATGTTGGCATTCTTGTCATGGTTGACCAGCTTCCTCGGTACTTCTTCATAGCGAGACAAATCGTCATCCTCCCCAGATGTAGGTTTCCTCTTTCGACTTCGAGGTTCATTTTTCAACCTGTAGTAATATCATACATTTATTTAACATTTTACCTCAGTGTTTGTCTGTTTGTTTGTTCGTTCAATTCCATACTCAGCAAATGTTCCAGCTCTATGACAGTGGTCTGTATATAGTCAAATCTGGACCACACAATCCAGTGATTGACATCATGAGCATCGATCCATGCAATTGGGATACGATGCCGAACATCAACCAAATCAGTGCTCGAAATTAAAAACAAAAGTTCAGGAGTCTTTGCCACAACCCTATTGTTAAACAATAAAATATTAAGGAGGTTTCTTGGATTCGAAAACTATTGTAGCAAACCCCAAGGACCCCCCATATCCCCTTTATTTCAAAACACTGCGACCTTCACATTCTTCAGTGGCACCGACAGTGTTTGGGAAACAAAAGAATATTTACACTTTGAAATCGCCTACTTTTGAATAAAATAACTTCAGGCAAAAGCTATTAAAACTTTCACGAGTGAGTGGGTTAAGGTTTTGACTGTATTTAGCATTATCCCAGACACATCAGCACGGGGTCATCAAGTATGGACCTCACATACTGAACCCATGTGGTCAGTCACACCCAGGTCTTCAGCTTTGTCACCATCTTCCAAAGGCAAGGGAGTTAACTGACCATTAAAGTCCAGTTTCCACCCTTGCTGAACTACATTGGAATTTGGCAGCTTGATCGGAACGCCACCAGTGGCTATTATGAGTTATGTCCCTTCTATGTCCCTCCAATTGACCAATCATATTACACCTTTCATATCACTTGCATTTCAAACAAAATGGCAGAGCCCAGTCAAGACGATCTGATTGATAATCAAGATCTATATTGTAATAAAACAGGTCTTACCTCACAAAGCACATCAAATCATTTGAGCACCATGATTAACACATAAAAATATTCAGAAAATATCAGTCGATGCATGTTGTTTACAAAATGGATGTCTAGTTCGTTTCGCAATTTTGATTGGACTATGCATGGACTTAAAAGTCCAGCCACAATATAACTCTGGAATTACAGCCTAGTTTGACAAGTGTGGAAAATGGACATGTATTGTCAGATCACCCTCTTGCCCCGGAGACACTTGAAGATCCGGGGTGGAATAGGTCTTCAACAACTAATGCTTGCCGTAAAAGGCGAATATGCTTGTCGTAAAAGGCGACTAACGGGATCTGGTGGTCAGGCTCGCTAACTTGGTTGATGCATGTCATCGATCTCAATTGCGTGGATCGATGCTCATGATATCAATCACTGGATTGTCTCGATTATTTACAGACCGCCGTCATATAGCTGGGATATTGCTGAGTGTGGCATAAAACAACAAGCCAACCAAACAACCAACTCTTGCCTCGAAAAAATGCATTGTTACAAAACCATTAGGCCACCCCTCGGTCTTTTCCCTAGTTTGAAATAATACATCATCAATACTATATGAGGAAAGCATCATGCCATGAAAAAAATACTTACTGTTTAGGTAGATTGGCAAATGAAAGATCTCGTCCCTTTGACAAGAAAAATTTGAAATCACTCTTGTGAAGTTCCCCGTTCTGTTCTCCCTCAACTTCCTGGTCTGTGACTTTTTCCTTTTTTTCGTTGATGTGACCTCTTGCTGCAGCTTCTCGGACACCCTTCCTCTGTTTTCTTATTTGCAGTTGTTTCTGTTTCTTCACTTTGCCTTGTTTCAGCAACTTGTTGTTCTTTTTATTGGCAATTTTACTCGAGCTTGTTTTGCCACCCTTACCTTTCTTTTTCTGAAAAAGAAAACGGGGTCAATCTACTTTTCTAAAGGCCTTAACCATGTTAACAATACAAGTTTACATCATGATACATGAACATGATGAAGATTACAAGTGCCCTGCTGAAGGTGAACTTTGTCAGAGTATGAATCGATAAGGACTGATTGATAGCCATGATAGCAAGACTTGAACCAGTTTCATGTCGTTCCGTCAATCCAGAATTAGATAACACACCTCTATTAACAAATGAGTTCAATGTAATTTGTGCATGTTGAGAACAATCTGAACAATTTTGCAAAGAAAAATGTCTTCTAAAAAAAAAAAGTTCTATGCAAGTCCATCAAGATAAACTATCCGTTATCATGGTTATTGGTAAACAAGTACTAATTATTTGTGACAGTGCCCGTGGTCTCAAGGGCTAATTGAAAGACAGAAGTCTTTCCAACAATGGATGGTGAAAGTTTTAGTGGGACAGACTGCAATTTTAATCCACCCTGATAAAATAAACAGGAAAACCATGAAGACAGGAAAGACAATCTATTTCATGTATGTGGGCTTGAGAATGGAATCATGAAGGTGTGACCAAAAAATCCTCAAATTCAGCGGTTTCTTTGATTTGACATGTTCTTATATCAGATGATGGCTTTGTTAAAAACTGTGGTTAGTTAGATTTTCATGCGACAGAAGTCCATACGCCAAATAGCGACAAAACGAAAACCTAAAATCCATATCATTGCGGTCAGTATTCGACAATATACATGTCAATGATAGCAGCAATGTCATTCTACTCATGTATTTGGGTGTATTTGCATACACACACTGAGCAAAGTGTACAGAAAAGTGAGAAATCCACTAAAAACAAAGATTTTACATATGCCCACGTGCAGAAAATGACTTACGGAGGCCATGTTGAATCGGTCTAGGGGAGGTAATTGCCATAAGCCATATTGGTGAATACCACTATACAAAAGTGAAGCTATACAGTTAACGGGACTATATCTCCGACTTTGTGCTTACATGCAATCTTGTTGTAGGGGCTGTAATTAGTTCCCTGTGCGAAACCGAGACATTTGATGGTATTCCAGGGAGTCTATATAAGTCTTTGTATAGACTCCTCAAGTGATATACATGATACAATTTCATTTTGCAAAACAATTGTTTGAATTTGTTACACATTCTCCCAAAATAAACATGTACAAAATAAAAATATGTATTGTTTCTGAGTTACGTTATTTATGTAAGTTTAATACATGTATATCTTAAAAATAACAAGTTAACAATAATGAAATCAGAGATAAATACAACGCACACAATAGTATTATTAACTAATTTCTTGTATAGTCACGGTAACTTTAAAACCTATGTACATTATAAAATAATAATGTAATCTCATCACATCTCATTCATAATCCAAGTATGTATTAAAAGTGATCCCTCTCTTTGACACCTTGGCATATCTTAGGTCGCACGTGCACCGCTAGACTAACGCTTAGTCTCTGAAAATATATAATTTAAAAAAAATAAAATATTTCCATTTAAATTTAAAAGAATGCCCAGTGAGGTGGGAGATTCTGTACCCGACCCCGGACATGAATCAGTTTTCTTGGAGATGAAAACAGACCCTGAACCTGAGAAAATCTAGACTTGCTACATTTAGGGATTTGGCATCAGATTGGGCTGAAGGGGAAAATTATGAGGCAGACTAGTGCATCGTGATAATCATTAATTGCTTCTTTCATGACGGTTGATGTAACTGAAAACGATGAATATTCTTTATCCCAAAATATTACAACGATTTCGATAAGGAATCTGTGTGATCCGAAGTTAAATTAACACTTCGTCAGCGAAAATATATATTGTTGATAGAAACAACCAACTCAAAAAAAATGAAAAGGAGCCCCAATGAGACGGAAGATTCAGATCTGAGTCTGTGGAAAATCTAGACTTGCTTCATTTAAGAAAACGTACAACTTTATGGATAACAACTTCTAGTTTATTGTATATAGCGACGGTTCGATGTAGACTCTTACACCGTTATCAAGCTGGAGTGACAACAACCAAGTGATGAGAAGTATATATGCAAGATATGTTGTGATAAGCAGCATATTAACACAGACAACAACAGTGAGTGAGTAAGTTGGATTTAACGCCGCTTTTAAAATTATTCCAGTTATATCCCGGCGTGTCAGCTTAATGTGGGAGGAAAGCCCGAAGTGATGCAGGTCTCAGATGTTTACCACTTCGGTGAAACCCACGAGCAAGGGTATGGTGCTGACAAACCTAGAAACATAATTGGGGCGAACCGGGATTCGAACCCACAATCATAGGTTTCTGACGTGCCCAAGGGACGCAACTCTGCACAGCGAATCGCGGCGCCTTAGCGAAGAGCGCTTTTATATTCCTGATTTTATTATGTATTTCTATTTTATTTTAGGGAATGCTGTTTTAAATATATTATGTATAACCTGTTTTCAGATATATATGGACTCTCGCAATTCTTTTAGAACGGCTTGTGTACTTTTATAATAGATGTATATTATTTTATGTATAGATTGATGTACATGAGGTGAGTCCCTAATAAACTGCCTGCCTGTCTGTCTGTCTGTCTGTCTGGGCTGTCTGTCTGCCTGCCTGTCTGTCTGTCTGTCTGTCTGTCTGCCTGCCTGCCTGCCTGTCTGTCTGTCTGTCTGCCTGCCTGCCTGTCTGTCTGTCTGTCTGTCTGCTTATTCACCAACTTCTAGAATGCCCATCAAACAGTTTGCTTCATTTAGGGCTAAGACTTTAGAGAAAGGGCTGGGCAGGAGGGAAAATATTATGGTTCAGGGACTGTGTGACAGGCTAATCCGAGGTCTACACCGTCTGGTCAGTTGGTTGGATGACAGCTCTAATCCAAGACAGGCGCTGACCAGAAATGGACAGGATCAATATGTACAGCGAGTGTCGCAATAACACTGTTCATCACACCAAATAGACTTAGCCCTTGAGCTAAAATCCTTACACAACACCGCCGTGCGTCTGTATAACATTTAGAGAGCACGGCAACGAGATATCAAATATTCAACGGCTATTCGCTGCTACGGCAATATATCTTAGGTCGCGCCATCGCAAACCACATCATTAGACTGCGAGCTTCGATATGAAATCTCTTATTGATACTTGCCGTTCACTGACTCACCGATTGAGCGTCTGAGTCATGAAAACACTGTATTACTGTGTGCATGTAACAGACGATATTTGACATAACATCGCTTCATAGAGAGAACGTAATCCATTTCTATTGGTATTATATCCAGTCTGAACATTAGGTTACGAACCAGGGCAATTAGGGTCAATAATTTAGAATAGTTAAGTACATGGCTCTTTTTAGTTTGTATTAATTTGATTGGTGTAATATAATTATTATTTGTGAATTATATCTATCCACGAAAACTTTTTTGGTGCAGAAATATCTGTAACAGAATTTACGTATGGTGATAAATTATGATTTGATTCCTGGTGGGTAGGAGGGCGGGGGGGGGGGGGGGGGGCGGGGGGGGGGGGGGGGGGGGGGGATGCAGATTTAAAGAATTTATGAATACCATAAATTGCATTAAGACCGGGAAGAACTGGTCTCATACGCCTGAAATGGAGATCCAGGCATAAAAAGAACTGGGCGAGACCAGTAGCTACAAGAAAGGTCCAATTGCTATCTCGGACGTTTTTCAAAGGCACTATAGACGTGACCTATCATTTAACTTCGACGAGAAGGAAATAATTAAATCTGGCTATCAAACACTTTTTTGTCTGTCCAGATGATATACTGGCCGCCAACGATAATGCTGGAATATTGCTCAATGAGGCGTAAAAACAAAACAGATTGTCCGTAATTTCTCACAAATATATTACGGGGAATGTATGTCATGAAGATTTCTTCACAAAAGAATATATACGGAAGCCTTTTAGGGCCATTTCGTTATTTAGTTTTTGTTCGATACTATGTTGAAATTTCAAGAAACTAAGTTGAAATTTCAAGTTACTAAGTTGAAATTTCAAGATAGTGTCTTGTATTCCAAGATAGTAGCTTGAAATTTCAAATTCTGTATCTTGAAATTTCAACTTCTGTATCTTGAAATTTCAACTTAATATCTTGAAATTTCAACATAGTATCGAAAAATTAAAAAAAACCACATGTCCCTAAAAGGGTTCTGTAAATATATGCATGTTTATGGGAAATGAACGATGACGTTTCACCGAATATGCCAGCCGAATACACACTATAAGCATTACCTACAGAACTAACATAAATATGTGGAAGGTTCGAATCCAAGATATCACCGATTGATGAGAGACACCAAGTCATACAAATTTCAATTCATTTGGAGGGGAATCGAACCCTGACAAGGATTTGACGTGTAAAAGTTTAACTACTGAACCCCGTCTTGCTTATAACTGGGTGGTAGGGGTCACGGCTGCTCCTCAAGAATTTGTCTTTAAGGCGTGCCACAATCCTATACATCGTAACTGTTTGATTGGCAATCTAGAAGTTGGCAAATAAGTAAGCCCTCGGTCTTTTCAACTGTCCTCCTCCGTCGGGCAGTTAATGGAAGACCTCGGGCTTCTGCAAATGGTAATGCCCTGAAAAACAGTGTTACCCTTATAATAATAACAATGTGTACTTATAATGCGCTAGCCTCCATGTAGCAGTTCGTGCTTAAAGCGCTACATTCAAATGTCACTATGGAAAGCTTCTTTGAACAAATGTGTCGTGTTGCTTTGAATGTCTGAATTGTCGAGGAAAGTCTAATCATAAGTGGAAGATCATTCCATAACTTTGGGGCAGCCACACTGAAAGTCTTTAGTCCATTGCTTGAACGTATATATACTAAGGGACAGATAGCAGGTGTTCACGGGTAGTACAGGAGTAGGGAAGCCATATATACAGTAAGGATAAGGATTAAAGGACTTATAAATTTGTGGCAAGCTGATTGGATCCTAATTAAAGCAGTCACAAAACGTCTAAAACCTGCATGACTTCGGGTTTTCTTCCCACATTATGCTGACACAGATATAACATAATAACTGTCAATCGAGCCCACTCACTCGCCCGGAACCAGGAAAAGGATGTGTGTAACCCCACGAGTTATTTTTCCTCTTGGAACAGTATTTCTATTCATACATGTTTAATAACACTTGAAAAAAAGCTTCCTCATTGCCTTTACATTCATTCACGACGGATGTAATAAGTGAATACACGAGTTTCGCCAGTGCTAGAAGCGTTCGTAAAATACTTGAATGGGAGACGATTCGCTCAGCAGGTGCCCGTTTTCCGGAAAATCACGGAAACAGTCGGAGAGTCTACAAAAGATGGCCGACACTTTGGTGTTGGTATGTAAACGGGAAAGGAAGTCAAAAAGAAAAATGAATCTATGTGGACTACTGTTGACGATATTAATTGTTCAGGATCTTTTATTGGAATATGTAGTGTGTACTTCACCAAAATGTCCACAGGGAGGTTGTTCCGAGGGCAAGTGTGTCGGTGGTAAATGTGAATGCGAGAGAGGTTGGACAGGGGAAAGGTGTGAGAAGTGTTATGGACGGAGAAGGTAAGTCTACTAGTGCTTATTTTTTGGTATGTTAAGACTATCTAGAAGGCATTTACTGTCACTGGTATCATTATGAACGTCTATTTTTTAGTGGTAAACGTTGTCTTCATTACTTGGCCAATATGACCAGTGAGTGACGTTTGTTTACATTGTCACATCGAATACAACTAAATATGGTTGATTATCTGTTTTATCACATCAGTGGATACGAACATGATGCTATACACGAATGATTTTCAGCATTTTGCATGAGTATTTCCAGTGATCATTAATCACTAATAAGGTGATATTGATATGGAGGCACCTAATTGAGTTAACATGGTAAATGGTGCTCTCACTCTACCATGTATATTAGGACTGGGACGGGTAACTTTGGTACTCGGGTCGGGTGGGTCCTGAGTAGGACCCGGGTATGTTATTGCAACATATGAGATCTTTGTGTACTATCTTTGTTGTCAAGTCATGTGACCTCCTCTTTGGTCTAGTGGTAGAGCGTCCGCCCGGAGAGCGGAAGGTCCGGAGTTCGATCCTCGGCCGCGTCATACCAAAAGAAGTTAAAAGATGGTACTTGTTGTTACCCTGTCTGGCGCTCGGCATTAAGGGGCTAAAACAAGGACTGGTCGGCTAGGAGTCAATTTACTGTGTCTGAGTGGGGTATTCATGTTAAACTGCGGCATGGTATCTCAGTGAGCTAGCCCTATAAATCGGCATCAGTCCGGTCTAGTACAAGCAGCCACACACACGTGCATGCACCTCGCTATATAAGTGCAATAATCTTGGACGCGACGTTAAACCCCATTTCACCTCACCTCCAGTCATGTGTTGGAAATAACCTTAACTGGGAAAGGATATATACATGATATAGTTACTTTTCACTATTAATTGCAATACTGCTGCAGGTGTAGGCATTTGTTTTCTTAATTCTTATCATTTTGACTGATGTTGATTACTGAATACTGGTGACATGATTGACCTCATAGTCTTAAAGCACAACAATTTACCATGAATTCACTTCTGTTTGTTTGTTTGCTGTTTTATGCCGCACTCAGCAATATTCCAGCTATATGACCGCGGTGTGTAAATAATCGAGTCTGGACCAGACAATCCAGTGATTGATATCATGAGCCTCGATGACATGCTTCAACCAAGTGGTAAAAGTCTATGGCCTGCATCACTTCAGGCTTTCAGACATGTGTGACATAACTGCATGACATTATGCCCAAAGTGGTGTTCAGCCTCACTCACTCACTCACTCACTCACTCACTCACTCACTCACTCACCTGTTTTTGTTATACTGTACATTATGATCAGAACTTAGCTGTGCAGGATATATTTAAATATAATTTGTTTATCCTTAAGAATTAAAAAACAACTTACGAACTATCTAGTACAGTAGACTCGGTTTATTACGAGCTGATATATAAAATACGTTTTTATGGTCCCGGGTGTTTGCTGTATATTTTATCATACCAAATTAATGGATATAACAAACCTGCTTATGACGAAAAACTGGATATAGCAAACTCAATTTTATGGTCCCATGTGTTATATTATAATGAACTGTTAATCTCTGCACTGCTTGCTTGTCATCAATCAGCCTATCATAACATCCACGAGCACGCATAGCTGTTCAAAGCAGCCATAAACAATTGAAGGCAAGTGATCAGATGGATTAAGTACTGATACTTGTCCTCAATTTACACCCTCAATAGTAAAACAGTGATTAGGTAATAGCCTTTAAATTGAATATTTTCTGTCTAACAACTGCGACGGCGAGACAGAGAAAACGTGACTTGATCCAAGATATCGGACAGTCGAAATGCTTACGACGAACTTCGGTTATAACAGACTAAAATTGGTGGTCCCTTTGAGTTCGTTTTAACTGTAGTTTACTGTAGTTTGACGGACTACTGGCTGCATACATCAGTGAATCCGAATCATAAACTGGTAGGACTCTCGGGCGTGTTGGTCCCAGTTGTCATTACCCAGTGTGAATAAAATCTCGAAGACATTTTGGAGTACAGCCAGTCAAAGTCCTAGAAAATGAAATAAGGCATGATTGTCACTGGGTCCTTGTCATAGCCGAATGTTGAAACACCGTGAGGATGTTCCTAGTTTAACATACTGTGGACATGGTAGAGCAAGCCTCAATGAGACCACCAAGGTTTTCCCTGATGCTGAAAACATGTGTATTTGACGCAAACTAAGGAGAAAATATGCAATATTATTTCTCCATTGGGTCAGTCATGACACAGATCATTCAGACTGTCACAATCCATTAATTGCACCATACTGTTGGAACATTAAAATTTGAAACAGACTTATCCCTTGACAATAAAATATGACCGTTATCAGCTTTGTCTAATGTTGGATAACCTGATGTCTACAAATGTAACAGACGTACTGGCAAGCTCTCGGTTGCAGCCAATCAGAATTAAGTCTCAATAGTTGCCTAGCAGGGTGGTTGTATTTCCTGTCAGTCACTGTCAAGAATATGTTACGCCACATCATGTAAAGAGTTAAAATATTACATAGTAGTTCCCTTATCAGTCTATATCAATCTGTTATCTGCAAATGTTATAAAAGATATTGGACATTACAAATTACATGTAAAAAATACTTAAAGCATGATTTAAACAGCTTGATTAGAAAACAAGATAATATGTTTTAAATTAAAAATAAAATTCATTACAAAATCTAATGTCAATTAGTATTTTGTTAAAATGACCCTCTTTGAAGGACATATGACTCCCTGTATTACTGCTAAGGCGTCATTATGACCCCAAGTTTTAAGAGGCCAAGGCAAACCCTGCTCCTACTGAGCACAGCTGCCAATGAAGGCCTTTCAGGTTATATGTTAGTGTTGATGTGCAGCTGCCTTTGATCAACGTAAATGTATACCTGTGACAGTCTCTCTCTGGACCATGCTGACAAAAGCCATTAGCTGTGCTTTAAAAGGAACATGAGGTTTGATGCGTTTTGAGCCACACCAGGAAGTACTTGGTGTCATCCACTTGACCACACATTTACCATCAGCGATTGTATGATGTTCAATGTAGATTAGATTTACGTGGAAATATGACAGTGGCTTTGTGTGTTGCCATGGCTACTCAATATTAGTGTAATAATATTAATAATTATAATAAAACACTGCGTGTTGTAAGCTATTATTACTAATTCTAATTGAACTTAAACGGCAATTCCCATGGGTATACACAACTTTGCAGATTTGGGTGTGTCCTAACGTTGTTAATGCAAATATATTCAAAACATCGAAAGTGGCATGTGAATAAGATTTATTTGCACTTTTGTCCTTTCTATCAGTTTCAAAGGCTGAAACGGAAATACAGAGGAGATGGAGCCTTTTTATACAGAGGATCCATATGTGGATCCATTGGTGGATCGCACACTTGATCACACTAGCAAACCCCTCTGTTCGCACTCTAGCAGATGAGCCTCAGTTCAAGGTCATGGTTTGCTGCATACGTTCTCGGCAAAGCAAACCTTTTCTTTGCCCTTTTTAACCCTTAGACATTCTCCTATACGCAAATAGACAATGATCATTTGTAGACTCTACTTTCCTGCGAATGAGTGGGATTAAAGCATTAAAATATACTCCTCTTTCTTTTAACAACGGAAATGTTACAAAGGCCATTTACATCACAAACTGAGTTCACTATTCGATGAGACAATGTGCGAAATATGCTTTTTCTTCAGTTATATATTTTCTTGCATTTCTGTACTTTCATTTATTTTGTTGTTAGACTTTTCTGTGTTTAAAATATTTGCAGACCTATGTATAAGATGTTGAAGCATTGATCGTATTTATTTCGTTTCTTTTTGCGGTATCCTGGTCACATCTTGTCGATATGTTCGACTGACAGGGAGAATAGTTGTTTGAGTTTTCATGGAATGTGAATGTTCTTGGGAAGATGAATCCACCCGTGAAGATCCGGGGAAGAATAGGTCTTCAGCAACCCATGCTTGCCGTGAAGATCCGGGGTAGAATAGGTCTTCAGCAACCCATGCTTGCCGTGAAGATCCGGGGTAGAATAGGTCTTCAGCAACCCATGCTTGCCGTGAAGATCCGGGGAAGAATAGGTCTTCAGCAACCCATGCTTGCCATAAAAGGCGACTATGCTTGTCGTATGAGGCAACTAACGGGATCGGGTGGTCAGGTTCGCTGACTTGGTTGATGGATGTCATCGTATCCCAATTACGTGGATTGATGCTCATGATGTCAATCACTGGATTATCTGGTATAGACTCGATTATTTACAGACCGCTGTCATTTAGCTGGAATAATGCTGAGTGCGGCGTTAAACAACACACAAAGAAAGAAAGAAAGATAGAAAGAACGATGAATTGGTGATTTCAGGAGTGAACCCCTACCTGTGATCGACAATAGTGACGAAAATAATCAGGATGATCCCAATCTTGGACGCATGGATTACAAGTGATGGCAAAACACAGACAGGGTTTTCTCCAAGTCACAATATCCTGTTGTAGACTAGACTCAAAGATGAAGCGACATGTCATAGACTCACTGAATCCGTGTCACTTGCAAACGTGTTACATTACACTGTACACACGGCTGAGTGTTCTATGATACCTGGACTGACCGTTGACATACATACAATAATCTACTGCTGAGAGATGAGTGGTAGGTGTGAAAAACACCGTTCCTGTTAATTATGTTGATGTCTAACTTCATAATGGCACGGAATGAGGGGGTGGGGATGTGTGGAACCTGCGCCCTAAAATTAATAAGGAATGTATCTTAGGGTGTTAAAATTATGTAATTCACGTTAAATCAAGATTACTTGACACACTCCCCCCCACCACTAGCCACACTCATGACATGCATAGAATCCATACCAGCGTTATATGTACAACTCAGGTCTCCAACAACTAATGAAATGATCGCATACATTCTGACTGACTCGTGGTAATATCCAATTAGCTTGCAGGCCTAGACTGACATGCAAGATAGACCTTA